GGGACCCCTTAGGGAAGGGGGTGTATGGATGCGGCCGCTGGTGCTGCGATGCTGCAGCTGGCTGAGGCTGAGACCGGGGTGCCTGTCAGACCACGAAGGAGCTGGGGAGATCAGTGTAGCCACAAATACAACCCCGAGCTCCCTGGCTCTGCTTGATCCCTCCCTAAGCAGTGCCCGTGGCTAGGAGGAGTTAAAAAAGAAAAAGGCTCTTTCTGGAGGAGAGCACGGTTTTTTTTTCTCTCCACACACCGTTCGCACCCCTCTGCTTGCACTGTCCTTGCTCCGACCATGTGGATTTGGCGCTGCTCCCCAGCACCTTCCCGTCATTAGGATTCCCTGAATTGCTGCTGCTTTACCTCTTCCAGCCGGGCTCTCCCCGGCCTCAGCGGCCGCACTGGCAGAAGCTCCCACACCTCGCCCAGCACCCCTGCAGCCGTGGGGGTGACACGGTTATGGTAACGGTAACCACCTGCTCATTCAGCGGGGAATAGCTCCGAGGCGGCATCGCTGTGATGATGGGTGTGGGCAGCCCCTGCGAGCAAAGGGCATTGCAGAGATGCTGGTGGTTCCTGGGGAGCTGGGGACAGCGGGGCCCCGCCGGCACCGGCACCCCGCACGTCCCTCCACGGTCGGGCACAGACTCAGCGTTTGTCCCTGGGTTGCTGCTGGCCCAGTGGGTTAGTTGTAGGCATTTTGGGGAGAGCGCGGCTGCCTCCGGACAGTGGCTTTGCACAGCATCCCTGCTGCAGGTGCCTCCTCCCCTCTCCCGCTGCTCGTCCTGCCAAAGCGGGGCCCCGAGGGACATCGGGGTGCGATGCAGGTGCTGCGGTGCAGGCCCATGGGCACCGCCACCCTCCGTCCATCCCTCCCTCCGTCCATCTGTCTGTCCATCCGTGCGGGGCCCCGTGTGCCGAGTGAGTCCGTCTTTCCATTGTTCAAACAATCTCTTTTCCACACTCGGTGCCAAAGCCTCCCCGCTTGCTCCCGCATGCGCCAGTATATTTAGCTGCCTCTAAGCCTCTACCTTTCCTTATATAGGAGAGGCCAAACGAATTTCGCACTCTCATTATTAATAGCCTGAGAGGAGCTCTTAGGAGGCTGCCAAAAATAGCAGGCAAACAGAGCGCACCCGGGATGGGGAGGGCATTGTGACAGGCAGGGAGCTGCCGGGACCGCCGCGGGAGGGACACCGTGCTGCTTTTTCTGGCTTTTCCCTTTGGGAACCACAATACGGTGTCTCCTGGCGTCCTGCCCCCGCCGCAGCCCCGAGCGGGGGGTCCCCCTCGTCCCACCAGCCTTCCGCAGGCAGAGGTAGGACCGGTGGGAGCCCAGGGGCAGCGGGGTCCTGGGGTGGGCAGAGCAGCCCTGTACCCCTGGGCTTTGCTGCTCTGGATGCTAGAAGAGCCGTCCCGTGGGTGTTGGGGACACCCAGAGTGGGTGGCCCAGGGCAGCCCGGGGATCCCCATCCCCATGGGGTCCCCCTGGCCCAGGGGAGCCCCTGTGGCTGCAGTGGCAACAGGTTTTGCCCTCCTGAGCGACCCACGGGCTCCGCTTCACCCTCCGAGCTGCCCCGGGCTGCTGCTGGGCCCAGCAATGCGTGCCAGCTCTCCCCAAGGCAGTGCTCCGGGACCCCCACCGGGAACCCGGGGGCTGCAGGGCAGGTGGCGGGGGGCAGAGGTAGCCGGCTGCGTGCCGCTGGCAGCCCTGGCTGCCTCGTCCAGGAGGGAGAGGGCTTCTCAGCAGAGATGACCTGCGCAGTATCCCCAGAGCTGGGCACGCCGTGAGCCGTGTGCCGGGGCACCAAACCTGGGATGGGGTGTGCGAGGAGGGGGCTGCGGGGTGCCCAGCGAGCAGAGGGTCTTCACCTGCGCCTGGAGGCGTCCGCATCCCAGGCAGGGTCTGCCTTAAATCCCTCCCTCCCTCCCTCCCTGGCGAGGAACTTCTCCCGCTGAACTGGAGGATGCTGCAAGCTCCTGCGGAGGAGCCGGAGGAGTCCTGTGGCAAAGTCAAGGCGATCGGGGAAGCATCGTGCTCGTGCCGGGTGTCACCGCAGCCCGCTGCCGCCAGCCGAGCCTGTACCC